TATATCTAGTGCTGGTAATCACATTTACCATCGCACCGCTATCAGCTAGGTAAAATTAAGTTCCATCCTTAGGAGGCATTCACGTCAGACATCATGGTCCTTCCTCTCGCTGGTCATGGCGAGGCCATACTAGGACACCAAGCTGTCCTCGTTGGTCGCAATTTAACATCTTGCTGGCTGTTTATCGATTGGTTACGTTGAAGTAATATGGATGAATTCCTGGCTCAGAGGAATTAATCGTTAAGACAAGTTTTTTTTAGAATTTGAACCTGACACGTCAGGAATCCGAATCTGACCTCTGACCGTGACTCAACCACGCCTCAAACAGGTCCTCTTAAAATGCATGCCCTTTATGTGCAATTAGTGGAGAATAGGCTTCGGTGGGGCGGGGCTGCGCTAATAAAAGTACAATATAACTCGATTATTACCATGCGTTTCAGTTTTAAAACCACTGCTTGATGCCCTACTGTTTACAGTAAGTTGCAGCAGCACGTTTTGCATATTTTCAATGACTTTGCGCTTCCATTGTTAAGCTATAAATTGCCATCCCATATGTCAGGATCCATATATTACGACAATTACGGACAAGAAGCTTTCGATTAATACAAAGATAATAGGTCTGTCATAATTTCTAATTTTTTTCTGTCATTCGATTTTCAATATGGCGGTCGCTTCACGTGACATGTAGATAATTAGCTGGCCTTTCGATTGGACATCCATTCCAAACAGCTAATTGAAAGTGGAAAATGGAAATATTTACAAAGTACTGCTTTGATGGGACCAGGTTTGAGCAGCACTTTCCAGCCTTCCTCAGTCAGGTGATGAAACTCACCGATTTATCTAATTTTCAAAGCTGACGTCAACAGCTTGACTGTAAATCAAAATTAGTTCTGATACAAACTTGATTTTGACTCTCTGCCGTATCGCAGTCCCATCAATGACGGGCAATAATGAAGTTGTCTGTTCTTCCCTATTTCGGTTCGAAATGGCTTTGATCTTGCAAGTCCTTACTGTAGGCTAATCCGTGATTTTGATATTTCTAGCCTACAGTTTTGATTCGTAACATTTTTTGCGGTATGAATCAGTAAGGCGATTTCGAAAAAGTACGACGCCATCGGCCGGAATGGGTATTGCTCCCGCTGAAAGTCCATGTACTGTCAAGTCGTAAGAGGCTGATTGGGCGGCTTAGGAGTCATTTCAACCTTTAGCAATTTTTCTGGCCTATGATTACTGTGATGATAATATCTGGCCAACGCATCGTTGACTGTAAGTCAGGAAGTACATCTGGTAAACCACATCTGTTGCGTGTTCAAAGGGTATCCGGTCCTCTTTACCTTCATGACGAGTGACTGTAGCGTCCTTTTAGACTTGAGGGCAACAATGATGTTCAGCGAATTCGCAATCCGCCTGATAGATCCTGAAAGACCAGGAAAGTGAGGTGCTCAAATGCGGGTTCTTGGCACGGTCTCAATTTCATAAGTTCTTCGATCCTTTCTGGATGAAATTTCCTGCATATCTATTCTTTCCGTTACGCCAGAGACATGACTTACTTCCGTTCTGATCTGAATGCATGAACACAAGTTATGGGTTATGATCAGCCAGGCCTTTAACCACTGTGGTCTTAGCGGCAAGGAAGTAGTGAGAAGTGACGTTCAACCATTTGTCGATGTGTGTTGATTTCCTGCACACTGACATTTCCAATGGGCCACATGCTTGGCGGCTCATTTCACGGTCCAGGAATGTAATTTGGTATCAACTCAAACGTCATTTCTCCTTCCATCGTGAACTGTATTTCCAGTGGTACGTTGTTCATCTGGTTCTACAGTTCCTCGGTAATTCCCTCAGGCAAACGGTGGACATATCATCGACGTGGCGTCACCATATTCTGAGGACTTAGCGACGTAGATCTGAAGGCGGCATTCCCGATTTTCTTCAAATATCTTAAAGGTACACTTCTGACGATTTGTGGCAAATCTTCTAAGTCATCGAAGAAGTATTTTTTAATCTACAGCATCAGATAATGTTTTAATTTCTTCAGTACGATCAGCATCGGCCAATAAATTCATAGAAGATGAATTTAGCAGACGGCCAAATCTTGGATATTAATGTCTTAAACACCGAGAAACTATATGATAATTTTTCTGTAGGGGTGATCTGTGAGGGCACATCAACGGTGATCCTCAATTTAGTATACTTTGTTCATAGTACAGGTATAGTAACGAAAGGTTGTGTTCTTCGTTCACGCAGGATAATCAACCATCAGGTGGGAGTTGGCCAACTGCAACCTAAAAAAGACGCTTGTATACGGCACAGGGCCGCATTTCGTGGCCATTCACCATGCCGTCTTTGCTGTTCCCAGGTCAACGAGTTCCTGTCCATTATTCGACTGACGGCGCCTAAACAATGGATAATGAATTCCTTGTTCAATGTAGGTAATGATGGAAGGAAATCTCATTTTTCTAGCTCATCGACGTTGGCATCTCTACAGTTTTAACTCACCCTTCTGCTATTGCATCATCGCCGTCTGAATATATTGAGTAAACGAATTTCGAATGACTGAACTGCACTGCATAACTCATAAATTAGTATGATTTTCATACAGTTACCCTCAGATGCTCATCTTCTGTATGACTCTACACTATGGGTGACCTCAACAACCAGTGTAACTGTGATTTATGTCTAGATATTTTGTAGTAGGTTCTTTTGCAGGTACCGACAGCTCAGCCAATCGATGTGCGCAAGAAAACGAAGAATTTAGTCCATGTGTGTCGCAGTGCCAGGCCGGATGCGATACGATTTCCAATCCTCCTTATTGTCCTCAAGCCACGTGTGCGTCCGGTTGCGTCTGTAAGGCAGGATATCTTCGTTTGCGAACGTCAGATCCGTATTCACGATGTGTCCCCCTCTCGGAATGTTCTCGAATCCCCATCAGCCCGAACAGTACGATTATAAAACCATTATATGGAGCGAAAGCATAATTAATAACCAGGGTATTTTAGGTCACGGAAATCAGAAAGCGACCGTGTCACTGGTCAGCAGTGACCGTTCTGTTCAGGGCCTGCTCACACTAACAGAGGTGAACAATCGAGTGCAGCTGACGGGATCGATCGGCGGAGTTAGCCCTGGCCTCTACTCGTTCCAAGTGTACGAGAAAGGTGACGTCAGTAGCCCTTGCAATTCCGTCGGTCTGCCGATCGATTTCTTTCGCCCACAGCAGGGGTCGGCCTCTATCGCATCTCCGACCAGTTCGCACTTCGAATCGTTTCGTGTCGATTCGCTAAGCAGCACTACCGTGAACATAAACAGCTTAAGGGTATCCCTGAACGGACCCAATTCTATCGTCGGGCGCTCCCTTGTTTTGATACGGCAAGACGCAAACGGCATTGTTGGCACCTATGGAACCAAGGTCGCTTGCGGAGTAATTGGCATCGTGTAGTGGACAACGCTCAGAACTTTATTTTGCCAGGAAATGTATATTATTAAAAGATGTAAATTTAATGTACGAGAAAGTAAATTTGCAAAAGAATGGTCTTTGAACTACTGCATGGCTTGCTGAAAAGCGCGTCATTGGCGAATGATGAAGGGAGGGTAATTATTCAGTCCAAGTCTACAATTATATCACGAAGAGACCATGTATGGTCGTCTATTCAAGTCGTGGCAAAAGTTACGCTGATTCACAGTAAATGTCGAGTGCTCGAAAGAAGCAATGAATGTCAATTGACCCTTGATTGGGATTCATCAGCCACGGTAGGGCTCCTCAACAGATTTTGCAAACGATCTGCATTACTTTCTCAGAAAGAAAGAAATCTGGGTTTCACATTGTGCTGATCATCAAGCTGGACAGTTGGTTAGCAGGTGAGTCAAAGCGAGGTGCAGTCAGAAGGGGTACTCGAGTCAAAAATCGTGACCATACACGCCATCCGTTCTGTCACTACCGGGCCGGCATACCATACTGTATATATTGCTCGTTAATCGCCAGCTTATGACCGGTCTGTCGGCTGGTTGCGCCAAAGCAAAGTGGAACAAATTCGGTACTTAGTGGAAGTTTCCGATTAAAGGATTACTCGTTGAGCGAATTTGAACTCGGCATCTGCGCAGTTGCAAGCCGACTTCCCCACCACTTAGAACAGGGCTCGGGGAACTTTTTTACCTGTTACCTCAAAATATATTTGTTTACGCAAAAGTTACCCCTTTGATTTGAAAGCAACAAAGTCACAGATTATTTAAATTCAAAAGGCTTATTGAATCTATTCATACGGAGAATGCAATTATAAATATAAAAAGTATAAAATAAATGGGATAAAATAAATTCATATCCTCATCATG